TTTAAAATTATATTTATCTATAGTTCAAATAAAATAAAATAATTAATTGACATACAACTGATGGGAAAAACGGTCCGTCAAGTGATGCCGCAGTACTCGTCAATACACTCCCGAAACACAACACAATTAATAAAACCAATTGTTTTCTCTCGAATTGGGTTTTGAATAAATTCCTAAACCAATTGCCTTTACTATGGCTTACATTCCTATCTCCAGTCCCGTGAAGACTGTTTACGCAAATTGTTGTTTGCTTTTTGTCACAACCAAAGCCTTCTTCCATCTAATTGTACGCTACAAATGAAATGTTGAAACTTTTCACTCATTGTTACCCAGAATTTATACCCAGTTGTCTCCAAACCCCATATATTTTATGATGGCATACATTTACACACGTATTGTACATGTGTAATATGGGGCGCCGGACTTGTGATACCCATATCTAAATTACTATCATATGAACATCATTTCATTACTTATCATTATTATCATCATTACAACGCCTATTCAATCAGTAACACCTCCATTAATCCAAAACTATTCGAACAGTTCAGAGTAATTTAGCAAACGAGCTCAAATTTTACAACCATGTTTATAATTTGTTTTGCCACTGAACCTTTAATAAAGGTCCTTTATAATGAGATACTTATAAAATGAATTTTTATGTAATAAATTATACCAAAAAATTATATATTTTTGTACGAATTGGTATCCTTATTAAAATAATTGATTGCGATCATTATTTTTACGAAATATTTAATTTGTTCACATTATTAAGTGTACCTAGATTATTGTTATTCAATAAGTCATATTATTATTGTGTTGTTACTTAAAAAACAACTTGAAACTGTATTTCTTAACTAACCCCTGTATGGTAACTGATAGAACATTGAAAGTATTTTTATAACTTTATAAAATATGTGTCGCAATAACTAGGTAATAATTTTTAATTCCTATTAAACAGTATATAGTACATTCCTAGAATAAAGTAATAAAACAATAATTTTTATTACATAATTAGCAACAGTAAAGGAACATTATTTACAATACCTGTTTTACACAGTAATCTTTCTAGTTTAATGTTTGTGTAAACTATCTCACTTATAATAGAAAACAAACAAGTATGACCACAATCATCTTGTTATATAATTACAATAAGATTGAATCTAAATATTAATAAAAACACAATAGTTAAAAAAGTAAAAGTGATAAATACCTAGATTAACTGTATATGTAATACAAACTGCTGATTCATCCCAATAAAAAAGTTTTAAATCTTGATAAGATATCAAAAGTGATGTACATTTAATCACAATAAATATGTATAATGCTGATAAAAACCCATATTTTATTAAATTGTTATTTTATAAAGTTAAATTATAATTAAAATATTAGTGTAACGAGGAGACAATAATAAGGATTTTGTGATAAATATTCAGTGATAGCGTAGATAAAACATCATATGATAAATGCTTTGGTATAAAATATAATATAAAACTATTATTTGATTTATAATTTTAAAAACAATTTTTAATAATTTATAAACACTTACGAGTTAGTAACTAAAAAATACAACGGTTTATATAACAATTACTAGTTAATTAATTTAAAACATTCATTTATTTACATTACAAATTATACAATTAAATAATTTACAGTACTTTAGAGTAATCTACCGTAAATAATGCTCAGTATATTAGTTAGATTTATAAATAAATTTGCTACAACTTCACATTAATCACGTAATCAAAATAATTCACTTTGTTTTACAATTTTAATCATAATGTTCTTTATTAAATCACGCAAATATTTAATGTTTATTTGTTTAACTCTGGGTTAATATTATATCCTTAACTAAAACATTTTAATATAACAGTAATGTGAATGTAAATATTCTATAACTAAAAATTCTGCTAAATAAATCTGCCATAAAATAAAAATAAATTGAAATTTTAAAATTATATCTCTTGTTGATTATATACAAAATGTAACTAACAAAAGTTTCTAATCCAAGTTTTAATAAATAAAATAAAATATTTATTTAAATTAAATTATAACAAATTTAAAATAATCGCTAAAATATCTAATAAAACATAACAGTAATAAATATGGTATCACATTTGTTGTGATTAAAAAATATAGTACTAAATGATCACTAAAATTTTACTACAACTGGAAACACTACTAATGCTAGTCTAACGGGTGTTAACTCTTTTGGTCACCCTTTTCGCCCATTTTCCACGTGTAGTATATATTCCAAAAGAATGAGACAAATGCTATGACCAGTACTTTATAGTTGACTGCAATAAAATAGTGGTTCACTAAACCGACGAATGGCCACACTTTCCAAACGGCACACATTATATCCCAGTAATCATTACGAATGCGGGCCTCCATTTGGGCCAACGAATGGCCATTCATTGCGCCCAACACTCCGATGCACGTCAATTGTAGTACAGGTGCGAAAAATAACTAAATATATCAAATATTATAAATTATTATTAATCATCACTATTTAGTAATTAGTAAATACTAATTACTGTTAACCATATCCATAAATAATCTTAATCGACTAAATACCTGTTCGGTGAGCACTTTCTTGATGGGAGTAAATGCGCCGCTCGTGCCGTACAATCTCTCCAGAAATAATATCCAATTTCTAAAAACAGGTCCAATAAATAAGAGTCCAAATGCGGCGAACTTTGCCGTCCGTTTCCAATTAATTTCATGTCTTTTCTCCAACCCTTTCTGTGCGATCACATCTCCCGTCCCAAGCAATACACCGGTTGTCGTGCATTGAGTTACCAATGGGTATGCCTTTAGGAGTCTGTTATACACACCAAACACTCTCATCAACATTACTGCTATTCAATCAATACAATTAATTTAACTACAATTATAATAAATATATAAACATTGTTAACATATAATTCGTTTATAACATATTACGGTTAAATAATTATGTATATAACATGACTAATACATATAATTTAAATCACAATTATTAATATCACGCAAAACATCAACAAACCATGATGCCATGATGTAATAGTGGCAGAGTTATGCAACAAACATACAATAAAGAATGTGCATTATTGTATACAGTATAAAATATACAGTATGGCTTTTATGAGGTTTAAATGATTGGCTGCATTTCAATGTGCGCGTGATTTAAGCATGTAATGTATATAAAAAGTTTTCAAATCATTTTTTAAAGTTA